AATATATATATATATATATATATATATATATATATGAAAGATAATTTTTCAGTTAATATACATAGCGAAAACTTAGTTTTGACTCCATTTCTCGGTTCACTCACACTTATCACAAAATATACAAATGTAATAATAATCGAACGTATTAACCTAACCACGTGATCTCCGTAAATTGCCAGCTGCGCTAAAGACTCAATCATAAGCTACAGAGAGAATTATTGCCCACTCCTCAAAGGTTTAATTTATATATATGTCCCTAAATGCACATATGCCACATCAACGTAGTTTCCTTGGCTAGCTAGCTTTTATATTATAGCAGCAACATGCATATATACTGGCTGCACTATAGTCTATCTAAAGAATCAATATTTGTCTACGAAGTTGAAGATGGTACGATTAATATTAAGGTTGCATGGCCTGTATATATAGTAATTGGGAAATTGGAGCTAAAGGAAAGAATATTTTGTTATAATCTGAATTTTGGAGAGAGTTTAATTGTTTTGTTGAAGGGTTGAACCAGTCCTGTTAATTAAAAGACAAAGTTGAGACTCAGCATGTATATCCCAGCGGTCCATTTTTATATAAAAATCCGTATGGTGAAAAGCAGATGAAAGGGGTTGGTGTTCCATTTTCAAGTTTTGGGATTGGAGGAATCTTTTTGCATTCCTCACTTCACTCACTTTAATTGATGGGAAAATGGCTTGAAAGAGAGAGGGCACAGAGGCCACCGAAAAGCAAGGACACCTTATCATGAAAGCAAGAAAAAAACGACCCGATTTGACGGGCCAACATACACATACACTCATACACGTACACATCCCATGATATCCATCCCCAGATCCTGTCCCCACACACCCCCCTTCTCTCTTATGACATTCCATTCATAATCAAATTTAATTTCTCTTTTCAATAAATAATTAATAATTAATACTACATTATAATATTAAACAAAATTTATTTCTAATATCAAAATTATTTTTAACACACTTCTCAACATCTTAGATATGAAATTTAAATGATTAAACATTTCTAAATAATTTAACACATATCTAATGAGTCCAAATTAATAATTGTCTCACAGGTGATATAATAAATGTAAAATAAATTTTAAAAAGTAAAATTATACATGTACTATCCGTATAACTATGCCGAGCTCGAGCTTGGCATCACAGCGCAGAGTGACCTCGGACACGCGCTAGGCGACATCGGCTCGCTATCCAATTAGGTCATAAACTGATCTCGGGCCCAAGGCCCAACAAAACCCTAATACACACAAAGGTACGTGCATTACTTATACGAGACTCATACACTCACAAACACTAATTTTAGCATCGGAGTCTCTTTTGCAGGTACCACCCCCACCTTGGAGCACGAACGTACCAGTGAAGGAGGCTCACCGATCTTACCTGGCGGATCAGCTCTACAGCAGATTTCCAGTAAGAACATTTGGCGCCCACCGTGGGGCCGATCAAGACGGCTCTTATCGGCCACCCGTATGGTTTTCACCAGAAGTCATAGCAGACGAGCAACAGACGACGCTGATCACGCAACAAGCATGGGTGACGCATCATCATTGAGAAGACTGATAGAACAGGTCGAGCAGATGCGACAACAACACGACGCCGATCTGCGAAACATGCGTGCCAAGCACGAAACTGACCTAGCGACGCTGCGTACCGCTAACAAAGCTGACCTAGCAGCGCGCAAATGAACGTATTCGCGCCTAGCTTCCACGACGCACCTCTGATCAACCCCCTCAACCGAGTCACCTAAACGAGGAAGAGGGGCACTCGGTTTCTCAACCGCCAACAGCGCATAGGACACCGACTCCAAAGCCTGCCACACATCGATCACACGCGCCGACAAATAGGTCGGCCCATGAGATCAGCAATGCCCCCGCACACGTCACGGGAAATCAAGCAACCTTCCGCCGTCATCCTTTTGTGGATGGCATCATGGAAACACCCCACCCTTTTGGGTGGAAGCCTCTCCATATCTATGACGGCACAACGGACTCGGACGAGCACATCGACCTCTATACTACACAGGTAAACCTTTACACTAATGAGGATGTTATTCTGTGTAGGGTCTTTCCGACCTCGCTCAAGGGGGCTGCACTCAACTGGTACACTCAGCTACCTGCAGAGTCAATTGATAGCTTCGACACCCTGGTCATACAATTCATAGCGCAGTACGCAACGAGTCGACCTCACCACATGACGTCGGCTGCTCTGGCCAGCCTTAGACAGGGTGACGATGAACCACTGCGGACGTTCATGGAACGCTTTGTCGGCATCTCGGTGAAGATTCAGAACCTGAATCCCGAAGTTGCCTTACACGCCATGCTCATGGCACTCAAGCCGGGACCGTTCGTCGACAGTCTGTGCCGTGAAGCCCTCCGCGACATGGACGAGCTCCGAGCTCGCGCTGTTGGGTACATCCAGATGGAGGAGCATGCCGAGTTCCGCAAGGAAATTCGTGACAAATCACAAGGAAAGCAAGACCAAGGTCAGGCCACAAACATTTAAAGTTGGCGACCTTGTTTGGCGATTATGGGAAGAAGCAAGAACAGACCCCTCCAAAGGAAAATTTGTAACTTGGAATTCCACTCAGCCTTTTTTCCCACTAAAGAAAAGGGTTTTTGGCCAAGGAAGGTTTTAACGAGGCACACCTCAGAAATAAATCAACAAAGCAACTCCATTCCCATACATTTTCGGTATTGGCACATTAACCATGACGACTTGCCAAGGTCGAGTTCGAACCTTGATGTTAAAGTCGGGTTCGAACCTTCAAATACAAATTACGTTGCCAAGGTCGAATCCGAACCTTGATGCCAAGGTCGAGTTCGAACCTTGAGATCACATTTTCTTAACCAAGGTCGAGTTCGAACCTTGATATGCCAAGGTCGAGTCCGAACCTTGAGATCACATTTTCTTAACCAAGGTCGAGTTCGAACCTTGATATGCCAAGGTCGAGTCCGAACCTTGAGATCACATTTTCTTAACCAAGGTCGAGTTCGAACCTTGATATGCCAAGGTCGAGTCCGAACCTTGAGATCACATTTTCTTAACCAAGGTCGAGTTCGAACCTTGATATGCCAAGGTCGAGTCCGAACCTTGAGATCACATCTACTTAACAAGGTCGAATTTGAACCTTCAAACAACAAATTTGGGAACTCCTCAAAAGCCCCTTTGCTTTTACATCACCCGATGCTTGGGGAGCAAGTGTACTATAGCCAGCCGAGTTGCCGACTTGTCCCTCCCCAATCTGCTGACTCGGTCAAAGGTTTACCAGCTAACCAAGTAGTAAGCTCATTATTGCCGAGCTCCTCAGCCCGACCATGAAACATGGACATCTGAACACCACATCGGCCCAAAGAGGCCACGTCATCAAACAAATAAAAATACAATCTTGCCACCGCGCCGCCCACGTGTTATGGGAACGAGGTGACGGTTATGACACATGGCGTCACGACAAATAGGCGTACACGAAAAGTCACGACCCCTTGTCGAGCTCGGTCTTAACTCCTCGACCTACGGTCTTCGGAGCTCGGGGGGCTAGTGTACTATCCGTACAACTATGCCGAGCTCGAGCTCGGCATCACAGCGCAGAGTGATCTCGGACACGCGCTAGGCGACATCGACTCGCTATCCAATTAGGTCATAAACTGATCTCGGACCCAAGGCCCAACAAAACCCTAATATACACAAAGGTACGTGCATTACTTATACGAGACTCATACACCCACAAACACTAATTTTAGCATCGGAGTCTCTTTTGCAGGTACCACCCCCACCTTGGAGCACGAACGTACCAGTGAAGGAGGCTCACCGATCTTACCTGGCGGATCAGCTCTACAGCAGATTTCCAGTAAGAACAATACCTAATTTAAATTTTAAAAATTAGATAATAATTTCTTTTCCCTTGTATTATTTTAGTTATATCACTGAGTAGTTGATGTGATAAAACAAATTTTATTAACCTACAGTTTCCTCTTTATATACATGACTGTCGCTGTGAGTTTTTTTTTTTTTTCCTTTTCTGAATAAATAATTCTTCTTGTGCTTAGAATTGCATCACCTTTTAGTTTAATTTACAGCAGGAAATTCCCAAGTCAACCGCACCTCATGATTTGGTCTTGGTTGTTGCAGGCAACACCTCATTTCCCACTTTGTGACCACTTTAATCACTGTTTGTTCTACTTGTTCCACCATCATCATCATCCTCTATATAATCACCGAGCTTCCCATCATTAAGTTCTTCACCATATGGGAGCTAGTAACTTGTAAGTAAGTAAATTAATCAAGCATGAAGGTGCATCAGTTCGCACGTGGATTCTGGGAGCACGAACCCTCCCTCACACTTGGGTGCAAACGTTTACGACCCCTTGCTCCCAAACTTTCCTACACCGACACCAATACTACACCTTTCGACCTCAAGAGCTTCATCAAACCTGAAAGTGCCTCCAGAAAACTTGGATCCTCTGATGATAACAAAAGAGACCCACCTTCACCTCATGCGCATGCCCAGGTTCATTATTAATCTCTTCGAAATTCCCTTTAATTTAATTTGCCCCATGGCATATCATATCCATGCAATTAATATATATATTATACATAGTAGTACTACTGACAATTAGTTCACGTGCTCATTCATATATATGATGCAAAAATAATGAACCAATTATATGTATGGTATTAATATATGGTTTAATAATTTTATATGATACAGGTGGAAACGCATATTTCAGGAGGGACACGGTGGAATCCGACGCAAGAACAGATAGGGATATTGGAGATGCTGTACAGAGGAGGGATGAGAACACCAAATGCTCAACAAATAGAGCAGATCACGGTTCAGCTTAGCAAGTACGGGAAGATCGAAGGGAAGAACGTGTTCTATTGGTTCCAAAACCACAAAGCACGCGAGAGACAAAAGCAGAAGCGTAACAACCTAGGCCTTGCTCACAGTCCTCGTACTCCCACCACACTATGGTCTCCTCCCTTTAGTTGCAGTGTGATAACTAGTTTGGATTCCACAAAGCGGGTATGTATATATGTCTTAGCTAGTCATAATTTGTAATTCAACTCTCTAGGCTTTAAGCTAGCTATTTGATTACTATAAAAAATCTCATGTGATAGCTATTCGGTTATTATCGAAAATCTCACATGACAATAATAATGTTTATAAGTAGCTAATAATTTTTACTTTACAAATTTATTATAGAAAATTGAATTAAATTTATAAATCTACTTTCTTAAAATGATTTTAAAGCCTATTTTAGTAATTATTATTGGAATAATTGTTGCATCTGATATTAAGTCTTTATTGAAATCCTAAATATAATATTATAAACTTTATGTTTTAGATGTCAAGTCATCCATGTAAGAAGAATGTACTAAAAACCTCTAAACTTATGAGATGGTCATTATGGTATATATAAGTAAAAAATAATTTTATTTTTTAAATTAATTTTATAAAGTTGAATTAGGTCCAAATTTATTATCTTAAAAATTATTATAACATCGTTTGATATGGTTATCAAACAAGTTTGATTTTTATGGTTCTTATCTATGAGATGGAAGATACTATTATTAAAAAGAAATAGTTGATGATGTAAAATAGTAGTTTGTATATATATACATGTTGTATGACATGGTTTTTAATGTTGTTTTTTTGGGCAGGATGAAGTAGTAGATGAAAGAGAGGAGGAAGATAGTCCGTTGAAGAAGTGTAGGAGTTGGGCATTTGAGTACTCAGAAGACCAAAGTTGGTCATCGCAGAAAGAGGAGGGACATAGAACTCTAGAGCTTTTCCCATTGCACCCGGAAGGCAGATGAAGGGGTTTGTTAGTTTGACCATTTAACGAGAAATTTTTATCCTTTGTTCTGAATATGCAGGCTGTGCTTTGGTTTGCTTTAGTTTTCACTTTCTCCTTTGGTTGTGTTGGGAAAGAAGAAAAGACAAAGCTGTCTTCAACGTGTACTGTTCCCGCTTTGAGACCAAATTAACCAAACCTGCTTAATTGTCTCTCTTTGGCTCTTTGCTTGTTGATTTCAGCGCAGTGGGTGTGAATAAATCGAAGCTTTTAGGTTAAAAGGAGGAGCTACGGACACTGAAGTCCACGCACACCTACTACTTCTACATCTTCTTCTTCTTAAATCTTAAGCCTACGTTACGATCCTTTCACGTCTTGAATTTCAATTTGAAAAAAGCATTGGATTGTCCTCGATCTAGCCGAAACGTAAAATAATATTCACACCGGATACTCCACTCACCATCATAGATCCGACTTTCATAAAGTAGGCACATCGAGTATTCAAGGTACATGCGTCCATTTATTTTTTCCATCATTGACATGCAAATTTCTTTCTATCACACAGTGCATGTAGGGCCACCGGGAAAGACAACGTTAGAATTAAGACTTGAATTGGGAGGGAAATTAGGAAGATCAACATTTTGAAATGTTCATAAAGTATAATCGCCAAAAGGAGCCTCTAGCGAAAGTTAATTAATTCTATTTATCTTTAATTTGTTTATAAGTATTGTTACCAAATAATATAAAAATATATTAATTAATAAAGTTGAGATACTTTAAGCATTTGAATGAAAAGTTATTACTATGAATTATTAGGATCCGTCTAAGAGTTGAAAATAATATATATATATATATATATATATATATAAGGTTTTTAAGTTTGAATTTTGGTGTTATGTTCATAATTTTGATGAATAAAAAAAACTCATTTAGTATAAAATATTATTATTATTTTTATATATATAATGAAAGCTATTCAATAATTTTCAAATTTGCATAGTATAATATCTTAAACGTGGTAGAGAAAATTGAGAACAAAAAGCGGTATTACATAAAATTAAGACATGAAATTGTTACTCTTTGTAGTCATTAACACAGTGACACTAACATTGTCGCATAGTAAATTGTATGAAAATGTGAATGAAATAATCGATCAAGACTTCTTCTGCACATTGTCGCATAGTGAATTGTATGAAAATGTGAATGAAATAATCGATCAAGTATTCTTCTGCCCGACTACATAAAACTTTGTTATCAACGAGGCAAGTTGGTAGAGCAAATGATTTTTATGTGTGTGTGTGTGTCGCATAGTGAATTGTATGAAAATGTGAATGAAATAATCGATCAAGTCTTCTTCTGCCCGACTACATAAAACTTTGTTATCAACGAGGCAAGTTGGTAGAGCAAATGATTTTTGTATGTATGTGTGTGTGTGTGAAAGATATTCATATTCATTTATTTCAAGAATAAGTTTTAATAGACTTACTTCATTCAATATATTTTTATCAAATTTCAACGATCTAACCATTAAATAAAAAGTTCTTAATGTGTGTGTGTCTGTGTGTGTTGTGTGTGTGCGCGTGTATGTGTGTGAGTGTGTGTGGGTGTGTGCGTGTGCGTGTGCGCGTGTGTGTGTGCGTGTGCGTGTGTGTGTGTGCGCGCGTGCGTGCGTGTGTGTGTGCGCGTGCGTGCGTGGGTGTGTGTGCATGTGTGCGTGCGTGTGTGTGTGTGCGTGTGTGTGTGTGTGTGCGCGTGTGTGTGCGTGCCTGTTTGTGTGTGTGTGTGTGTGAAAGATATTCATTTATTTCAAGAATAAGTTTTAATAGACTTACTTCATTCAATATATTTTTATCAAATTTCAACGATCTAACCATTAAAATAAAAAGTTCTTAATGTGTGTGTGTCTGTGTGTGTGTGTGTGCGTGCGTGTGTGTGTTGTGTGTGTGTGTGCGTGTGTGTGTGTGTGTGTGGGTGTGTGCGTGTGCGTGTGCGCGTGTGTGCGTGTGTGTGTGTGCGTGCGTGTGTGTGTGTGTGTGTGTGCGTGTGTGTGTGCGCGCGTGCGTGCGTGGGTGTGTGTGCGTGTGTGTGTGTGCATGTGTGTGTGTGTGCGCGTGTGTGTGCGTGCGTGTGTGTGTGCGTGTGTGTGTGCGCGTGTGTGTGTGTGTGTGTGGGCGTGTGTGTGTGCGCGCGTGTGCGTGTGTGCATGTGTGTGTGTGCGTGTGTGTTTGTGTGTGTGGGTGTGGGCGTGTGCGTGTGCGCGTGTGTGCGTGTGTGTGTGCGTGGGTGTGTGCGCGCGCGTGTGTGTGTGTGTGTGTGGGCGTGTGTGTGTGCGCGCGTGTGCGTGTGTGCATGTGTGTGTGTGTGCGCGTGTGTGTGCGTGCGTGTTTGTGTGTGTGAAAGATATTTATTTATTTCAAGAATAAGTTTTAATAGACTTACTTCATTCAATATATTTTTATCAAATTTCAACGATCTAACTATTAAATAAAAAGTTTTTAATGTATAAATCAAACTGCAAATTTTTAAAAAATTTGAAAATCATTTAGAATAAAATAAATAGTGTAGATTAACAAATTACAAATAAAATTACTATGTATCACTGTCATCTCTATTCTCTTTATCATTATTGTCCTCATCCTTGTTATTGCAACTGTTGCCACTATTAACACATCTACCTCTACTACATTGCCATCACATTACCATTATCATCGTCATTATCACAACCATCACCTTCACCACACTATTGTTGCATCATTATTGTTAGTGTCACCATCAATATTATCATTGTTATCACCACTATCGATAGTTGTGGTGACAATAGTGGCGATGGTGGTGACAACGACAATGATAATGGTGACAATTGCACTAATCACTACAATCATTGTCGTTGTTACCACCTTTGCCAGTTGTGGCGGTGGAGGTGATTGTAGTGGTGGTGATGTGGCGAAGGTGGAGGTGATGAAAATAACGACAATAATGATAGGAAAAAATTACGATGATAGCAATACACAGTAACTTTATTTACAATTTTTTAATCTAAAATATTTATTTTAATCTACTTATTCTCATGTTGTCATATTAATAAGTGTTATCACTTCAATTGCCCCTATATATATCTATATATGTGTGTGTGTGTGTATAGAGAGAGATGAGGGTTACTTCATTTAATAACTCATGGTTTATATTGAATTTTAATGATCCAATCTTCAAATTAAAATTTTACAATGAATAGATCAAATTTACAAATTTATATAAAATTTGAGAACTATATTATACTTCATCATAGTAATATATTCATTGAAAATTTTTAATTCAATTGAATCATTAAAATTCAATATAGATGATAAGTTATTGAGTAAAGTAATTCTATCAAGACTTGTTTTTAAAGTGAATCTTGAAACTTGGATAGTTAAGAAAACAAGGTATGTTCCCAAAAGGTAACGTGGCGAGAGATGCATACTCTATTTGAAATGGGATCCCAACAATGACATCCTTTATATTCAATGACATAACTAAGAAAGAAACATAAGCACGAGGTTCTAATTTTGTGTGCTCATTAAGTTCTAAGAGAACAAAATAAATGCACCAAAAAGGTTTAAGGACTTAATTAGTTAGGGGGCTTACCAAACAATTTTTCAAAAGGAGACAAATTTTGAAATTTCAAGGTAAGAAGACAATGATAGTGTAGATGACAATAAGAGCGACTTCTCCCCAAAAAATTTTTTGGACATGAGGTAGACAAGAGAAGAGCATGGATGAAGTCAAGGATATAACAATGTTTTCGTTCAACTTGACCATTCTATTGAGAGGTGTGAGGACGAGAGCATTGAACAATAGTACCTTATTGATTAAGAAGTTGAAGTAAAAAAGACTTATGATATCCAACAACATTTGTGCGAAGAGTGTTAATAGTACAAGAAAATTAAGCTTTAATCATCTTTGCAAAATTGATATAAATTTTGCACAGTTTATATCTATGTTTTAGAAAATATATCCATATGTAATAAGAGAGAAATCACCAACAAACAAAATAAAATAATGAAAACCATTTATTGAAAAAATGGGAGAAAGACCTCAAATGTCATAATGAAATGGGACCAAAACATAATTTGTTATAATAAAATCACTCTTGATGAAATATAGTGCATGTTTTTTTAGTAAGTTTATGATTTACGTAGTCAAAAGACTCAAACTTTGTAGATCGTAATAAATTATGAGAAATTGAAGGTTGAATTTTGCTAGCTTTGATATGGCCAATTCGAAGATGTCATTGGTAAATTGTGAAAGGGATAACATGGTAGATACACATGTACAAAGATGATTAAAACTTAATTTCTTGTAATATATATTTGACCAATCCTAGTTTACTTTATTGGTACTTTACTAATGTTGCAAATTCCGGAACATACTTTCTAACATCTTTTTTCCTTTCTTCGATTCATCTAATTTAGCTATCCTTTTGTTTCAAGTTGATATTCTCCTTTTCTACTTATAAATAAATGAAATAATAAAGTGAACCAGAATGATTAAAAAAAATGTATTTTTTAAGAAAAAATAATGCCTAAATGTCCTAAAATACAGAGAAAAGATTAGAAATTATGACTAAAATGTGATGAAATCACCTATAAGAATTTACGATATCAAAAAATTGTAGTGCAGAGAAAAAAAAAAAGAAGAAGAAGAAAGAAATAATAAAGTTAAACTAACAAGGTAAACTCTTATATTTCTTCCATGATTGGTTAACTGGATATCGTGGAACAAACTTACTTCCTAAACTAATGCTACTAGACATCACACCTTCTAACATTTTAGGTACTAGTAACTAAAAAGGGTCACCGTAAGATTTTAAATTATAACCAGTAAGTTAATAAAATAGAAGGTGTTGTAACATTGAAAGTGTTATTTGTCTATTTACAATCCTACATTAAAACCTGCTTTAATATTATTTTTGACTTTTAACTTTATAAATGCTCATATATATCATTGTTGTAAGCTATGCAATGAAGTTGGATTTACAAAAGAAACTATTCTTTCACAATTTATTAAATGAAGAGAAGAAAAATAAATTAAAATAATTTGTTAAGTTTTTGTTTTTCTCTTATGCTCGTGTAACTTAGATATACTAATAAAGACTACTAAATGAAAGAATAAAAGAAGAGCCTTCTTAGGTAATGTTATCATGCTTATAAACATCAATCCGTCAAGCAATGTTAAGTACTAGCTAGTAACTCAAAATGATTGCTATTACTAGCTTAAGTCATAGCCATGGTGGTAAAGGAAGGTATTGTGTAAACTGAGATGCGTCATTTGTCATCATGGAAGCCTCCACACTAAAGAATTATTGATGATTTTGTGACAAAACTTTTATGAAATATTAAATGTGCTATATTGTTTGAATCATGCAACCACACAAGATGCACAAAGCAAACTGTTCTTTATGTTGAGTGATATTAGAGAATGTTATATGTACTGTAATATAATGGTATTGATATACCTTTGAAGGACTTCTTTATGTTGATTGACCGAATGTAGCCGACCAAAAAGTTACAAAAGGTTTTACGAGAGAGCTAAGAAATTTTTAAAGGTCCCCAAAATGTTTTTCTTATCGATACTTTTTATTTTCAAAATAAAACTTTTTTTTATTAAATTTTACTTTTGGCCACTATAATATCAAATATATAATTATGGTCATTAATTTTTAATTACACAATTTTAGTCCCTAATTTTATAAAATACATAATTTTTATCTTTTGATTGCACTTTTATCCTATTTTTACTCCTAAGAGTGAAATTTATTCTAAATACTACTAAACTAGCCTTTTATCTTGTGAAATGAACTGGTTAAATATTTATTATATATAATTAGAATTTATAATAATA